AGCAGGAGGAGGAGAGGAGATAAATGGGCTGGATGTAGAAGAAGGAGTGAAATAGAAGAAAAACAGAGATTTTTGTGTTTGGTATCTGTCTGACACCTCCCTCACCCGTCTCACCCTCTGATGACTCACCTCTCCCAGCTGTGTCTACTGATCATTGATATTCTTGTTTGTCACATAATATTTTAGCGTAGGGGACTCAGGACCAGTAGGGGGCAGTGTATATATGAAGCAGGCCACACACTAAAAATAAATAGTTTTTATTTTGAATATTTTATTAACGAAGGATACTCAGTGTGGTATTTTATTTTTTTTGAAAAATTGTCACTAAATTTTTTGCACTTTTACTCAAATTTACAAATGTTGTCTTGCACCGTTTGCCCTCAAACTGAGGGGCGGGGGCTTTTTTAAGGAGAGACAGCAGAAGGCTGTGAACCAAACCAGAATTTGTCTGAAAAAAAAAATTACTTTTTATTTCATCTGTAAGAATTAAATATACTGTATATGAGGCACTGTGTGTGTTTGAACGCTGACGTGGGTAGAAATGACTGACGTCCTGTAGTGAACTGTGTGTGTGTGTGTGTGTGTGTGTGTGTGCCTTTGTTCCCCGTCCTGCTCCGGTGTTTCTGCTCAGCCTGGTGTTGAGGTAATAATTAGCTCACTACAGCGGGGTAACAAGTTTGCACCCCCGTCCTGCTGCGCAGCTCTGTAATTGGTCCCCCTCATGTGACACCGTCGGGCCCCAGAACAAAGGGTTCCCAGAGGGGGAATCTATCCTGACCCATGCTGAATCCCCCCCCCCACAACAATGAGAGGCAGGAAGCATTTACATATGCTGACAGACTTGTCTCTTCCTGGGGTGGAGTGTGAGGCACTTCATTAAAGCCACATCAATACCTGCTGATGGGACGAGGGGAACGGGCCTCGGTGAGGACCCAGACACACGGCTGCCATATTCAATCCTGAATAAACAGACAGCATTTACTAAATAAGGTGTGTGCAAGTGATGGGGAAGGTGGAGGTGGAGGTGGAGGGGGAGTCGGGGGAGACAGAGAGAGACAGAGAGAGAGAGAGAGATGCTGTCTGAGCTGTGGACGTCTGCACGCATCAGCAATTGGTTTACCCACAAGCTGTTCATCCGTACATCAGCTGCCAAAATCTGTCGGCATGTG